GTTCTAGTAACACAGACCAAGTCATTTAGAGGCTGACACGTGGCCATGGCCCTTTCTGAAATGTTCTAAGAAATTGTTAGCCTGATGTGTATTTAAGTACATATTTACAGTGAAGCAATGTGGCTAATAAAACAGAGGACTCAAGTGACAATCAGATCTTGATGATCTGAAATCAAGTTTTCTTCTATTACCTGTATGTTAAATGGGATTTTTTTTAACCAAAAAAAATTTCAGAAGCATTTTCAGGCAGTGCTCCTCCTTGGACAAGTTGACATCTATTAGGCTGCCAGCATGAAGAACGTATGTCCCCTCTGTCAAGGATTGTGAATCAATTTGATAAATTCTAACTGGTAATCTCATTTTGGTTCATTTTATGGGACAGTTTGATAAGTGGGTTATTGTCTATTCTCTATCCACTCACTTTATTTCTGATTTTCTATCTGTGTATTGGGGATGGGATTAACAAGGGTGACATATAAAAAGAAAATGGTTCAGAGCAATTTGAAATTTGGCTTAAATAGAGGCATCTTGGTGTACTGAAGTTATTTATAGTCCAAACAAAAAGGCAGTATTGGATGCGTTAACAATATCCTTGGACTTTAGGACTTGTGGGGGGTATATCTTGCCTGAATATTATGATCACCTTTTCTTTCCCACCTTGAAACCTGTTGCAGAATCTATCCCCACCTCTAGGCAAGGGGACTCCAGCCCCATCTCTGCAGGGTCCCCGTGACCGTTAACAGCAATCGATCCAGAGCACAAGCAGGTTCAGGAAAGAGCCTCTTTCTTTCTCTCGTTTCCTTCAAATTCTCACTTTTTGAGAGCCGTTTACAGGAAGAAAGGCATTCCAGTGCAGTGCTTCTCAAGCCATAAAAGTAAAGCTCATCCACCACCTTCAGGCAGGGGTCCCGACAGAGAGGAGCGGTTGGAAAAAAACTCACAAAGTTCAGTTGTGCAAAAACCATGGCAGGAGCTTGTGGGGGGTGACACTCGACCAAGAAGGCTTTGAAGAAGAGGCGTGCAGAGAAAGGCATCAGAGTATCCACATGCCCTGGGGGCAGATGTTGCTTGAAAGAAAAAAATCCCAGCACAAACAGGGTTAAAAGAATGTGTTGGACCAGCGATGACAGAAGGTCATGGGGGTGGAAATACTGGTGTCTGAGCCCGAGCTGGAAGGTTCTGGACCTGGGCAAGGAGGAAAAGGCAGGGTGCCCACATGCCTGAGGAAGGGAGAGGGAAGGCGGGTCTAGATGCTGGCTCCCCAATGGCGGGGGGTTCTACCACCCTCCACCCGCGCAGCCTGGGAACCAAAGATTGTAACCCCCCCCAGCCCGGGGGCAGGAAGCCCCTCTCCAGGGCTGGTGTGTTGAACGGAAAGAGGAAGGCCCCCATCCTGGACGAGGGTGACAGTGGCCGGTGACGAGAGGAAGGGTTCCATGAAGAAAGGGACTGATTCTTTCTAAGTCCAGCTTGTGTGTGGATGTCACGACCTAGCAGAACACAGCACTGTCGGTCAATATTTCAGTAAAACAAAATTTTTAAACAAGAGTACCTAGCAGGTTATCAATATAAAAAAAATAGGGTATTTTCTTTCACTCTGGAAACCAAAAATTATCGACCTTTTTCCTGCTGCTTTCTCTTTACTTAGTTGAAGGCAGCAAAGTTAGCTTTCAGTGTCTAGGTCAGAAGTCTAAGTGAAAGTGAATATTTAACCACATTCAAGGACGGCTGATAATCTTTAATACTAAGAGAGGCGCAGGACTTAAGAGAAAGAAGATTCTAGAAGGGAAAAAAATAGCCAGGAAAGCAGATAAACCCATGACTGGTTTATGGACTGGTGAAAGGGCACAAATCCGAGGAAGGGCTCAGTAACTCTGTGGAATGGATGAGTTCAAATGTGGGCTTTCGTAGTGGGGTAAGTCGTTTTCTAAAAGACGTTTCAGAAAGATCCATGGCCACTTGTGATGTCAGACCTGGTGCGGTCTCTTTGAGAATGAGACCTCTGAGAGACAAAAACTAGTAAATAAAATTTAGAAAGGAAATCACTTTTAAGAGATGAGAAGATGATATTCCAACCGAAGGTATTAACACCTCCATCCAGATGAGGTCTTCATCTTTGTACTCTGTGTGTGTGTGTGTGTGCGTGCGTGCTCAGTCATGTCCCACTTTTTCAGACCCCAGGCTACACTTTTTGTAGCCCACCAGGCTCCTCTGTCCATGGGATTCTCCAGGCAAGAATACTAGAGTGGGTTGCCATTTCTTCCCCCAGGGGATCTTCCCGACCCAGGGATCGAACCCACAGCTCCTGCATTGGCAGGCGGGTTCTTTAGCACTCAGCCACCTGGGAAGCCCTCATCTTTGTAGACGTGACGTTAGACTGAACCACAGCAGCAGAGGTTCCCCAGAGCGGCACTTGGCCATCGCTGTTGTGACGGGGGGCCTGTACGCCCCAGCCTGCCTCCCTGAGACTCAGACTCAGAATGTCGGTTCTGAGCCCCCCGCATTTCCCCTCCCTGACCCTGGTCCTCCTCCTAGTCCAATATGTGGCCTCCCACTGGGGCCATGGAGGCAGGAGCGGTACTGACAGCTGAGCGGCTCTTGGCCACCGCCACCACCCGTCCACCCGCACCCCTTGTCTGCAGGTGGAGGCTGCTAGGGCTCTGAGTGGGAGGCCGTCCCCTGATGCAGAGCAAAAATGCCTTTTATTTTCATTATCACTTCTTTTGGCTACTCCTTGAAGCTTGTGGGATCGTAGCTCCCCATCCAGGGTTCAAACCTGGACCCCTTGCGGTGAAAGTGGCGTCCTAACCCCTGGACCACCAGGGAATTCCCAAGAAGGCTTTTTCAAAAAATTTTACTTTATTCAAGAATTTGTTGTTCAGTCGCCAAAGTCACGTCCGACTCTGTGACCCCATGGACTGCAGCACACCAGGCTTCCCTGTCCTTCACTATCTTCCTGAGTTTGTGCAGACTCAAGTCCATTGAGTCGGTGACGCCATCCAACCATCTCATCCTCTGTCTCCCTCTTCTGCTCCTGCCCTCAGGCTTTCCCAGCGTCAAGATCTTTTCCAGTGAGTCTGCTGTTCACATCGGGCATCCAGAGTACTGGAGCTTTAGCATCTGTCCTTCCAATGAATTCAGTCAGGGTTAGCTATGACAAACCTAAGCAGCGTATTAAAAAGCAGAGACATCTCTTTTCCCACATAGGTCCATGCACTCAAAGCTATGACTTTTCCAGTGGTTATTCAAGCATAGTTATTTAGAGTGTTGTGTTAATTTCTGCTTATAGGACATAAGACTGTTACACACACATACACAGGTGTAGATTTGTTTCCCTGTTCTTTCCCATTATGGTTGATCATGGGCATCGGGCTACACGGTAGGACCTTGTTGCTGGGGCTGTATTGTTTCCTGGCTTGTTACTAGCTCTCGAGCTGTGACATGGACTTACTTGTCCTTGTTTATCGACTCGGGTGGTGACCGGAGGGCAGGGCCTTGACGCCCATAGGCCCACGTGCTTCCTCTGCGGCCAGCTCCTCGTCTGTGCCAGGGAAGCTCGCTCACCCTGCCGCTCACCCTTCCTCCTTCCCTACCCCTGCCCCAGAGATCTCAGTGCAAATCACTTTCCTGGGGAAGCCTTCCCGCCCTGCCTGCCTGGGTCAGGTCTGTCTGGCGCAGCGTCCCGTGCTTTTGCCTGCACACTCGCCCATCACGTGTTCATCGGGGCGGCCTGGTACAAGTCGCCCTTCCCAGCTGAGTCGCAGACCCTCTGGGGCAGGAAACCACATATGCCTCACGCTCTAATCACCAGAATGTGCGCCAGCAAGAGCCTCAGGACAAGCTGTGTGAACTCCGGCTTGGCTACCCCTCCGTTTGAGATTCCTTCCAGGCCTAGTCAAACACCTCCTCCTCCAGGAAGCCTTCCTTGATTCCTACCCAAGAGAGAGGCAGGAATTTTGTCACTCAGACACTCTACTGCAGTTTGAGTCTCTCTGGTTGGACATGTTCTACCTTCACCTCTGCAGTTGTTTATTGAGTACTGCAGTCATTCATTCCTGAGCTCACACCTTTCCTGAGCCCCTGCTACGGGCCAGGCAGTGTTCCAAGTACTGGGGGCAGCAGCGGAAGAGGGCAGGCAGCGTTCCCTGCCATCAGGAAGCACTGCATCACACGGCAAGCAGGACCCCTGGGCTCCGGAGAGAGGCAGGTACCCAAGCAAGGCGGCGCTGCATGATGGCAGCCAACCCAGGAGACCTGATGGCCAAGGCTGGCCTTCTCCGAGCCTCCGGGATGCCAGGGGGACAGCAGTGATCTAATAGGGGCCTGCACACGTGCCTCAAGAAATACTTGTCTTTAACACATCCTTTCAACTGGAGCAGCAGCCCCCAGCCTTTCTGACACAGAGCAAGTTAGAAGACAATTTCTGGTTTCATGGAAGACAATTTTTCCACGGACCAGGGTGGGGGCTGGGGGTGGTTTGGGGAGAATTCGAGCATGTTCCGTTTCTTGTGCACTTCATTTCTGTTTCTATTACATCGTGATGTGTCGTGAGATAATTACAGAACTCACCATAATGCAAAGTCAGCGGTGACCCTGGGCTTGTTCTCCTGCAACGAGACAGTCCCACCGGGGGGTGATGGGGGGCATGGGAAGCAGCTGTGAATATAGGTGAAGGCTTCACTTACTTGCCCACTGCTCACCTCCTCCTGTGGGGCTCAGTTCCTGAGAGGCCACAGGGCAGTACGTGTCCATGGCCCAGGGGTTCGGGACCCCTGAGCTAAAGGAGCTGAGTTGGGAGAAAGGAAACAAGTGAACAGGTGATCCAAGCCATTGTCGCACCCGTTTCAGTTCTTCTGATGATTACCTTCTTATTTCCCTTGGCATCACATGCTCAGCTGAAATCCTTCTGCCCCACTTAGGTCAGCCGGATTTAAACCTTAGAGGCATAGAGACTCCCACCCCGCACCTAATGACCTATCTCCAGGAAGCACCGCACTTACGCTTGCGGGTCTGCTGTCTCTGTTGCCGATGGTTAGGCATGAGGAGTGGAACAGCCCGCCGGGCAGTGATTCTGTCTTCATCATATAAGCGGGGTAGTTGCTTCCTGAAGGAGCAGGGGCATGAGAGATCAGGTGTCCATCAGCCTGCCGTTGTTCAGTGTCATAGAAGTGAATGAGGTGAACTGTTCCTTAGACACACACAAGCCCCTTTCCTAGGACCATAAACGGCTGATGTCTATGCCTCCAGGGCCCCGGGCTTCTGGCTCCTGTGGCTGGGGTGGTAGGGAGAGAGGGCTGTATCCTGCCAGGAGGTCAGGCGCTTGGTTACAGCAGGTGGGAGCAGGGCTACCACCTGGGGATGCTGGAGAACCTCCATGGGCGCCTGGCTCCAAGGCTGTGACGTGTGTTGGGTCAGCTTCTCACACCAGACTCACCTCTTTGTATTGCTCAGTCACTCAGTTATGTCCAACTCTTCGAGACCCCCTGGACTGCAGCCCGCCAGGCTCCTCTGTCCATGGGATTTCCCAGGCAAGAATACTGGAGTGGGCTGCCATTTCCTCCTCCAGGGGATCTCCCTGACCCAGGGATTGAACCACCGTCTCTTGCATCTTCTGCATTGGCAGGCAGATTCTTCACCACTGAGCGACCTGTCTCTAAAATCCAGACAGTGGAAATGGGTTTCAGGTCTTTTTAAAGTCAAGTTTACTGAGGTGTAATTTACATTCAGTAAAATCCATCCTTTTTGGATGGACAGTTCTGTGCCTTCTGAGCGTCCTCCATGCCTGTTTTCTTCCTGATTGTCAACCAGAGGTGCCCACATTCCTCGGCTCGTGGCCCCATGTGGTTTTCCGAACCTGATGTGTGGGTGTGGTCCTTCCATGCCCTGAACCTCTCTCACCTCCCCTTCTGCCTCATTTCAGCCAGAGAAGGTTCTCTGCTTTTTAAAGGCTCAAAAATGGGGATGTGGACACTGCTGCTATTTAGGACTTTAGAGGGGCAGGCAGAGGAGTTTAGTGAAAGTGATTTATCCACATGCTTGAGGAAAATGGTTGAAAGTGTCACACAGGAAGTGAGCCTAGCCCTTCCCCCAATCACATTAATAGAACTCTCTAAGATATTTCACAACATTGAAAGTACAAAGGATAAAATGTTGGACGCAGATTCAAACTTAGAAAGGAGGATTTTTCTGAGCTCCAAAATCACTGCAGACCCTGACTGCAACCATGAAATTCGAAGACACTTGCTCCTTGGAAGGAAAGCTATAACAAACCTAGGCAGCGTATTAAAAAGCAGAGACATCACTTTGCTGACAAAGATCCGTCTAGTCAAAGCTACAGTTTTTCCAGTAGTCATGTATGGATGTGAGAGTTGGACCATAAAGAAGGCTGAGCACCAAATAACTGATGCTTCTGAACTGTGGTGCTGAAGAAGACTCTTGACAGTCCCTTGGACAGCAAGGAGATCAAACCAGTCCATCCTAAAGAAAATCAACCAACCTTCCTGAATATTCATCGGAAGGACTGGTGCTGAAGCTGAAGCTCCAACACTTTGGAGCAACTGGAGAAAGCCCTAGCAGCAATGAAGATCCAGCACAACCAAAGATTAATTAATTTTTTAAAATAACCTAGAAAATTTTTTTAAAGTAATCAAGCATCAACAAGCATGAAATGCTTCTGGATAAAATGCGTAAGATCTGAACAATGAAAATCTGCCAAATGTGGCTGAGAGGAATTTTGAAAGACCTGAATAAAGGACAAGTCACAGCATGCTCCTATGTTATCAGACTCAGTATCATTAAGATGACAGTTCTTCCCAATGATCTACAGGTTCAGTGATCAAAGTCAGATCTCAGCATGCCTGTTTGTAGAAGTTGACAAACTGATTCTAACGTTATATGGAAATGCAATGGACCTGGAGTGGCTAAAACAACTTTGGAAAAGAAGAATGCAGATGAGGGACTTAAGCTACCTGATTTCAAGACTGATAGAGCCACAGTAATCAAGACAATATAGTATTGATATGAAAATAGAAAAATAAAGGAATGGCACAGAATAGCAAGTTCAGAAATAGACCCAACTATGTGGTCAACTGATTTTGAACAGACTGACACATTATTTCAGTGGGAAAAGATAATTTTTTCAACAACTCGTGCTGGAACGATTGGATAGCCACTTGCAAAAGAACAAATCTCAGCCCCATATCATGTCATATTAAAAAGGAAGAACTTGAAATGGGCCATAGACCTAACCTTAAGAGTGAAAACTATGGAAACTTCTAGGAGAAACAGAGTACATCTTAGTGATTCAGGGTTGGTAAAGATTATAATTTAAAAAAATTACAAAAAAAAATACAGGCTACCAAAGAAATTAATAAATTAGACTTCATCAAAATTATAAACTTTTGGGTTTCCCTTGAGGTTCAGTGGTAAAGAATCCCCTTGCCGATCCAAGAGACACGGGTTCGATCCCTGGTCCGGGACGATCCCACAGGCTGTAGAACAAGTAAGCCCGTGTGCCACCACTCCCGAGCCTGCCCTCCCCAACAAGAGAAGCTGCTGCAGTGAGAAACCCACCCACCGTAACAAGGAGTGCCCACAGCTTTGCTACAACAAGAGAAAAACCCACGCTGCCGTGGAGGCCCACAAAGGCCATAAATAAATAGATAAAAATTTAAAAGTATAATCTTTTTCTCATCAAAAGGCACTTAAGAAAATAAAAGACAAGCCCCAGTCTCGGAGAAAATATTTGCAAAACATGTTTCTGACCAAGAACTCGTATCTGTAAAGAACTCTCACAATTCTCATTCATCTCACAATTGTGAGATGAATTCTCACAATTCATCTTCTCAATAAGAAGATGGCAAAAAACCCAATTAAGGATGAAAGCAAAAGTGGGCAAAATATTTGAACAAATTCTTCAGTAAAAGGTTACTGGATGGCAAAAAAGAATAAGAAAAGGTGTTCAACACCATTAGTCATTAGGGAAATGTAAATTAATAATAGCAGATATTGCTATTAGTAGTGAAGTATTAGTCTCTCAGTTGTGACCGACTCTCTGTGACCCCAGGGACTATAGCCCACCAGGCTCGTCTGTCCATGGAATTCTCCAGATAAGAATACTGGAGTGGGTTGCCATTCTCTTCTCCAGGGGATCTTCCCAACCCAGGAATTGAACCCGGGTCTCCTGCATTGCAGGCAGATTCTTTCCTGTCTGAGCCAGCAGGGAAGTCTGCTGTTAGTAGTAGAGAGATATTAAACCCCAACCAGAATGGATAAATTAAGAAGACTGACCAAGTGTCAAGTCTGAGGACGTGGTGTGGCAGGAACTCACAGTGATGATGGGAGTGTGAAGTGGTACTGCCTCTTTGTAAAACATTTTGGCAAGTGATATCACTGATGCTATTACTGAAAATATCATATACCTGAAGGACCCAAACTGAAAAGTCTACAGACTATATGATTCCAACTCTGTGACTTTCTGGAAAAGGCAAAACTACGGAGACAGTAAAAAGATCAGCGGTTGCTCAGGGTTGGGTGGAGGAAAGGATGAGTCAGAGCACAGAGGATTTTTAGGTCAGTGAAGTTCCTCTGCTTGATACGGTAACAAGCACTTGTTGTTCAGTTGCTCAGTTGTATCCAGCTCCTCCCATGGACTGCAGCACACCAGGCTTCCCTGTCCTTCACTATCTCCCAGAGTTTGCTCAGACTCATGTCCACTGAGTCGGTGAGGCCATCCAACCATCTCATCCCCTGTTTCCCACTTCTCCTCCTGCCTTCAGTCTTTCCAGCATCAAGGTCTTTTCCAGTGAGGCAGCTCTTCACATCAGGTGGCTAAAGTATTGGAGTTTCAGCTTCAGCATCAGTCCTTCCAATGAACACCCAGGACCGATCTCCTTTAGGATGGACTGGTTGGATCTCCTTGCAGTCCAAGGGATTCTCACGTGTCTTCTCCGACACCACAGTTCAAAAGCATCAATGCTTCGGCACTCAGCCTTCTTTATGGTCCAACTCTCACATCTGTACATGACTGCTGGAAAAGCCACAGCTTATTTATATCCTTATATGTTTGTTCCACAGAATGTACAACACCAAGAGTGTACCCTGATGTGAACTATGGACTTTAATTAGTACACTGACATTGGCTCGCCAGTGGTAACGACCCTACCAAGATGTTACTAATGGGAGAACACGGGAACTCTTTGTACTTTCTTCTAAGTTTTCCTGTAAACTTTCAACTACACTAAATAGAACACGCTGGTGGTTGCCAAGAGGGAGGGGCTTGCGGGAGGGATGGAGCGGAACATAGGGGTTGACAGATATAAGCTTTTATATATAGGGCGGATAAACAACGAGGTCCTCCTGTACAGAACACAGACCTATACTCAATATTTTATGATAACCATAATAGACAAGAATATTAAAAACAGGATTATGTATATGTATAACTGAATCACTAGCTGTGCCACACAAATGAACACAACATTATAAATCAACTATACTTCAATTCAAAAGTTGGAAAAATTTATGCTAATAAAATCCATTCTATTAAGGATTAAGTTAGACTGTGTATGTCATATACTTAAGAATAAACCTATTAATAAAACAGGTATACAAGACCTCTACTCAGATAATTGATCCCACCGTTGACATTACCATGGATGCGTGCTTAGTCGCTCAGTCCTGTCTGACTCTTTGGGACCCCAAGGGCTGTAGCCCGCCAGGCTCCTCTGTCCACGGGACTCTCCAGGTGAGAATGCTGGAGTGGGTTGCCATGCCCTTCTCCAGGGGATCTTCCCGACCCAGGGATCGAACCCGAGTGTTTCTATTAAATGTAGCCCAAATAAACAGATGGCCGTAAGGTGTTTCTGGAGGAGACTGCTCAGTTTTGGGAAGGGGTCAGTTCTCTCTGGAAAGGCCTCATGCACCAAACAAGGGAAAGTGACCTCCGAGCTCACCACCAGGTCCACGTGGGCAGCTCCGCTTAACGGTGTGGACTCTGGAAACGGGTTGCAGACGGCTTAATCGGCCCTGACAGCCCTGTGTGCACCGCTCCCCAGAATGTCTTCCAACGTGCTTCAGGAGCTTTGCCATCTTTTTTTCCCCGTAAACGGATCATTTCTGTTCCCTTACTTTTCTTGTCACTTGAGGCTGCATAAACCCCTGTTTCTTCAGAAAAGCACCCGCTTCATGCCCGGCCTCTGCCCTTTGACCCCTGGTTGTGTTCCCCATGTGAACTCCTTTCTCTGGTTCCTTGCTTAAAATGATATGAGCGTTTTTGTAAGAAAGGGATCAATGTCCAGAGTGTAGCACTGATGGTAGATTGAATCAGTCTGTATTTATTGAACATCTGCCTTTTGGGGTGTGAACACTGCCTTAAGGAGTCCCAGATCAGCTGGGCATTTAGACATCAATCAGTTCAGTTCAGTTGCTCAGTCGTGTCTGACTCTTTGCGTCCCCATGAACTGCAGCACGCCAGGCCTCCCTGTCCGTCACCAACTCCCAGAGTTTACTCAAACTCCTGTCCATCGAGTCGGTGATGCCATGCATCTCACCCTCTGTCGTCCCCTTCTCCTCCTGCCTTCAATCTTTCCCAGCATCGGGTCTTTTCCAATGAGTCAGTTCTGCGCATCAGGGGGCCAAACAATAGACATCAATCAATTTCAGTCAATTCCTGTGATGTGAGGGTTGGCGCCCTTCCATCTGGATGAATCCAGGGAAGTTTCAGGGAGGAATTGTATTTGAACTTCCCCCGACATCTATGAGAATTGGAGGCATTCCAGGCAGACTACTAAGGTAAAGTATAGAGGCTGGAAATTAGGAGGTGGTTTGGCAAGACCCTGAATAGTTTATGTTGGAACACAGAGTTGCAAAAGGGAATGAAGAGATATTGGATCAGTTTAGTATAAAACTTCCGCATATGTTTATTAAGCTCCTTCTCTGTGCTAGGCATCATTCTTAAGCATCAGTCGGGGGATACATAAAGGAGCAAAAATCCACAAATCTCTTTTCTTGGAGAGCTGGCTCTCTGGTGGGGAAAGATGGACGATTAGCCCAGTGGACACGTCTGTGCTCGGCTTGGTGTGTTCAGAGATGCTGTGTGTGGGCAGGCGGGCGGGCGTGCATGCAGGGAAGGGCCAGGGCTCTGGAAGGATGGCCAAGCAGCCTCGCCAAGGAAATGACGTCTGAGAAAGGACTGGAAGGTGAGAGGCTGCACAGATTGCATGGGGGAGCGTCCCAGGGCCAAGGGCAGCCGGGGCCAGGCTCGCTGGAGGAGCACGCAGAGGAGGACACGGGGCCCCGGCAGGGAGGTGGCAGCAGATCCCCTGGAGGGCCGTGGGGGGCTGTGAGTGCTCTGCCTGTGCGCTCTGTGAACACAGCACCCCCGGGAGCAGGGTCTGAGTGGGGGGCTGCCGCACACCGCTCTTCAGCTGGTCCAGGCTCCCTCTGCTGACGTCTGGGGCTAGGGACGGAAGCCACAGGCCGGCCGTGAGGCTCTCGGGGCTCACCGAGAGCCCGGCAGAGAGCAGCTCGGGCCGCCAGGTGGTGTGGATGCGGCCCTGCGTGGGGCAGACACTGGCGGATGAGTGGCCGTGTGACCCTGGGTGATGCTTTCCCTCGGTCTGCTCATGCTCAGGTGCTCAGTCGTGTCCGACTCTTTGCAACCCCACGAACTGTAGCCCGGAGGCTCCTGTGTGTGGAGGGCTTCCCAGGCAAGAATGCTGGAGTGGGTTGTCATTTCCTTCCTCACCTGTAAGTCCAGGGATTTGGAAGCCATGCTCTTCGGAGGGATGCGTAAAGGAGGGGCGGGGCCATGAGGGCGGGACTTCAGGATGCAACTGGCAGTGTCGCGGGAGGCCCTCGCCAGTTAGGAGGGTGCAGCCGGAGTCCAGGCAGGGGAGGGGAGTGATGCCGTGGGCTGGGGCGAGACGGGACAGAGGCAAGTGATTAGAAAGAAAGCAATCTATCAAAACAAATAAGAAGTAAGCAAACCAGACTGTCCAAAAGACTAGGCTGGAACTCTGTCAGCCCTAAGACCAAGGTCACGTCAGGGCATGCTGCTTATGAGGCGTGTGGACAGCTGTTCCCACCCCAGACCTGCTCTCCCCTGGCAGCCTGGCTGAGCGGAGCTTCCTGAGCGTCAGTTGTTGGTGCTTTAATCGGCACCTGAGCCTGCTTCCCTCTCAGATTCGGTCCAGTGGATGTGAATAGCCAGTTACCGCAGATATAGGGCCATCTCCTCCTCGTAAGCCCCCGGCACTGGGTCTTATGAATAAACCCTGCGTAGAGTTCCCGGTTTTCTTATTTCCATGCAGAGTTTGACTTGATAGCAGTGGGTTCAGTTTCCCTTAAACAGATTTTGCTTCTGTTCCTGTCGTGTCCTTGTCACTTTTAAGTTGCATTCATCCTGGTTTCTTTAGAAAAACAATTGATCTACAGCCCACTAAGGAAGAGGGCCCTTGGTTGCTTGTTACCAGCATTCTCTAAATGTTGGAATTATAGAGCTGCTGAAAATCAGCGTCAGGTCAACCTCTTCTTGTTTGGGAATTTACAGAATAATTGTGTCTTCAGCTTTTTTTTTATTCATCATGGTGAATAGGAATGGAAGCTATGTGGCTCTGGGAACCTCTAGTTCCAAATAGGAAGGCCTGGCAAACATTTCCAGTTGGCACACAGACAAAAGTTGCTAGACAGGCTATGAGGCAGCTGAAGCACCCAGCTCCGGAAGGGACCCTGCGATATCTCAAGTTAGAGGCTCTCCAGAAGTGTTGGCTCTTCTCCCCTGATACCTATCGAAACACAAGTCACTATGTGCATGATGCTCGCTCAGTCGTGCCTGACTCTCTGCAACCCCATGGATGGTAGCCCACCAGGCTCCTCTGTCCATGAAATTCTTCAGGCAAGAATACTGGAGTGGGTTGCCATTCCCCGAAAGCAGTGTCTACATTCTATTTAAAAACAGGAGTAGAAATGGTGAGCCTTTGAAAAGTCACTTTCCTGAAAAGACAAAAGCAGTGAAAGCATTTCACATTAAAAGAGAAGTGACAACAAAATGCCACAGGTAACCCCCCGCTAGATCCTGTACTGGAGGGAATAATGTCAAGGATATTATTGGATCAACTGCTGAAAATCTGACCTTGAATCATGAAGTCTTGTATCTCTATTCAGTTTCCTGAAATTGATAAGTGTCCTGTAGATAAACATACTCTAGTGTATAAGAGAATATCCTGATTCTTAGAAAATAAGTACTTTGTTATTGAGGGAGATAGAGTCATGCTTCAAATACACACACACGCACATGCACGCACACATAGTATGGCTAACAAAGACAGAGCAAGTGGGTAGAATGTTAATCATCAGTGAATATGATAAAGAGTACAGAGTTCACAGTGTTCTTTATACTATTCTGCATGCGTGTGCAATTTTTCGGTAAGTGTAATTACTTCCGAGTGAAAAAAAAGAGTGACCAAACAAAACAGGACAAGTTCTCCCATCTGGATTGTAGCTACGTTTATTACCAGGTTTATTTACCAAGCTGCAGACCAGAAATGTGAGTCTGAGCTCACCTGTTCTGAAAATATAACTCCTAATTTATCTCCCTTTTAGTACTTTTTTAAAATGAAAAAAATCTTTGAGATTTGACGTGACTGTAGATTCACACGCAGTTGTAGGAAATAATTCAGAGAGATCCCCATACTGTTTACACTGTTTCCCCCGTGGAAACATCTTATAAGACCACAGTGCTGCTTCGTAGCCAGGATATAGTCTTGTGTCCAGAACATTCTCGTTGTCTTCAGAGCCACACCGATTTCTCACACCCCAGCCTCCTCCTTATCCTGGTGGTCTGTTCTCCATTTCTATCACTGTGTCATTTTGAGAGTGGTATGTAGTGCGTCCAATAGAAGGCTGAGCGCCGAAGAATTGATGCTTTCAAACTGTGGTGCTGGAGAAGACTCTTGAGAATCCCTTGGACTGCAAAATCCAACCAGTCCATCCTAAAGGACATCAGCCCTGAATATTCATTAGAAGGACTGATGCTGAAGCTCCAATATTTTGGCCACCTGAGGCGAAGAGCCAACTCATTGGAAAAGACCCTGATGCCAGGAAAGATTGAGGGCAGGAGGAGAAGGGGGCGACGGAGGATGAGACGGCTGGACGGCATCACCGACTCGATGGACGTGAGTTTGAGTAAACTCTGGGAGATAATAGAGGACTGCAGTCTGTGGGATCACAAAAAGTCAGACAGGACTTAATGACTGAACAATGAACAAAAAATGGCATGTGACCTTTTGGTGCTAGCTTTTTCACATAGCATAACTCTCATGAGATTCATACAGGTTATTGGATATATTCATTCCTTTTTTTGCTGAGTCATATTCCGTGGAACATATGTACCAAGTTTGTGGAACCATTCACCATCAGAAGACATATGGATTCTTTCCAGTTATGAGTTATTATAAATAAAGGTGCTGCGCAGGTTTTAAATAGCTCCATTGAGATGTAGTTTACATACCATACACTGGTATGTAACTGGTATGTTTAAACAATGGTTTAAAGTACACAATTCCATCCTTTCCTTCATACTTATGGGATTGTGCAACTGTTGCCACAGTCTAATTTTAGAACATTTTCATCACCCCCGGAAGAGACCACATACCCACTAACAGTCATGCCTCGTTCCCTGCACACCCCACCCCCAACCCTCGACAACCACTAGCCTACAGTCTCTACAACTGGCCTATCATGGACAGTTTCATATCAATGGATTTACCCAATACACGGTCTTTTGTGACTGGCTTCTTTCACTTAGCGTAATGTTTTCAAGGGTCATCCATGTTGTATCACGAATCAATACTTCTTTTCGTCACCAAGAGCGTTGTATAGATAGAGTACATTTGGGGACTTCCCAGGTGGCGGTAGCAGTAAAGAACCTGCCTGCCAATTCAGGAGATGTGAGTTTGACCCCTGGGTCGGGAAGATCCCCTGGAGGAGGGCATGGCAACCCGCTCCAGTGTTCCTGCCTGGAGAATCCCCTCGGACAGAGCAGCCTGACGGGCTATAGTCCGTGGGTTCGCAAAGAGTCGGACTCAGCTGAAGTAGCAGCACACGTGCTTGCTGGCCTAGTATGTTTTATTTATCCAGTAATCAGCTAGTGGACTTGTGAGTAATTTCCACTTTTTGGCTGTGATGAATAATGCTACTATGAACGTTTCATGTACAAGTTTTTGTGGAGATGCATGTTTTCATTTCCCTAGAAGTGGAATTGCTATGTCACGTGGTTACTCTGTGTCTAACCTTTATGAAGAACTGATCAACAGTTTTCCAAATGGCTCCATCATTTTACAATCTCAGCAGCAAAGTGTGAGGGTTCCAGGTTCCCCACATCTTCACCAATACTTGTTATTGTCTGTCTTTTGTATCATAGTCATTCTAGTGGATGTGAAATGGTATCTCACTGTGGTTTTGATTTGCTTTTCCCAGACCAAAGATGTTGAGCATCTTGTCACGCATCTGTTGGCCATTTTTATATCTCCTTTGAAGACATGTCTACTTAAATCCTTCGCCCATTTTTAAATTGGGTATCATCTGCCTTTTTGTTATTGAGTTGTAAGAGTGCTTTATATGTTCTGGATAGAAGTCTTGTGTCAGATATTTGATTTTCACATTTTTCTCCCATTTTTGTGAGTTGTCTTCACTTTCTTGATGATAATGTTTATAGCACACTTTTTAAAAAAATTTCAGCATCCAATTTGTTTTTTCCTTTTGGCACTTGTGCCCTTGGTATGTGTTCAGGTTTCTTTGTGAACATAAATTTTCATGTCACTGGTGTAAATACCGAAGAGTGCAATTGATGGGTCATATAACTTTATATTAACAGTTTCATATTTCACATTAAAAAGATTGAGAGAAAGTGGTTGTACCCTTGTAACCAACTTATTCTGTGTGTGTGAAAATGATTGGCTCCATTGTCTAAGATGGAATGGAGCTGATTTACTCTTCCGCCAGAGACAGCCAGAAATCCAGACAAATACTTGAAACTGTTTTTCAAGACATTGGACGTCAGGCAATAAATGGCACTGAAGACAAACAAGGTGAGAGCTTTGATGTAAGTGAGTTCCCAGGCCATGGTGCCAGAAGGAGGAGCCTGGGCAGAGCTTGGCAGAGTCTTTAAGTTGAGGAGATGGAGCTGAGAGTCTGCAGAGACCAACGGGTCAGTGTTCCCAGGGCAGAGGACCAGAGGAGAAAGCTCTGGATGCCTGCTAAGTGCTGCTTGATGCAGGCAAGTGAGGAAAACTGCTTGAGGCCAGTAAAAGAACTGTCTGGGAGGGTTAGAAGGATCAGTGCCCAGCAGTCAAACTGGGCCAGGAATAGTGCCTGGCACTCACATGGGGCTGGGAACAGTGCCTGTCTCCACTTGCCAGTCTGGAAAACCTCATACTTCAAGAGGAATTGGACGGAGTACTCAGAAAGATCTTGCCCCAGTAGGGGGATAGTGGCACTGGATTACATGCTGCTGTGGTCCTGCCTGATGATTCTCAAAATTAATATACAAAAGGATCTTTTCTGAGTAATTTAACTACAGCCCAGGAGAAAGCTCAATAATCTTTATAGGAATACAGAATTACTAGCACTGAACAAGGTAAAAAATAAATTACAATGTCTGACATCTAATCAAGGATTACTAGATAAGCAAAAAAGCCAGAAAAGAGGATCCATAATTGGGAGGGGGGGAATCAATGAGTTGAGACTTACCCAGGACTGATATACACTGATGTGTATATATGTTAGATTAAGCTGCTGCTAAGTCGCTTCATTGTGTCCGACTCTGTGTAACCCCATAGACGGCAGCCCACCAGACTCCTCCGTCCATGGGATTCTCCAGGCAAGAACACTGGAGTGGGTTGCCATTTCCTTCTCCAGTGCATGAAAGTGAAAAGTGAAAGTGAAGCCACTCAGTCGTGTCCGACTCTTGGCGACCCCATGGACTGCAGCCCACCAGGCTCCGCCGCTCCTGGGGTTCTCCAGGCGAGAGCACTGGAGTGGGTTGCCATTTCCTCCTCCAGTGCATGAAAGTGAAAAGTGAAAGTGAAGCCACTCAGTCGCGTCCGACTCTTGGCGACCCCATGGGCTGCAGCCCACCAGGCTCCGCCGCTCCTGGGGTTCTCCAGGCGAGAGCTCTGGAGTGGTCGCCATTTCCTCCTCCAGTGCATGAAAGCGAAAAGTGAAAGTGAAGCCACTCAGTCGCGTCCGACTCTTGGCGACCCCATGGGCTGCAGCCCACCAGGCTCCGCCGCTCCTGGGGTTCTCCAGGCGAGAGCCCTGGCGTGGTCGCCACTGCCTCCTCCAGGCACTGCTATGGCGGTGCTTAGATGCAAATTTATAACTTGAGCACCTTTACTGGAAAAGAAGAAAGAAGCCCTTAAGAAACTAGAAAAAGAAGAGCAGTTTATAAACCCGATGTAAGTAGAAAAAAGGACATAATAAAGATCAGGGTAAAATCAATGAATAGAGGCGAAACATAACTGAGAAGACCAATGAAATATTAATACAAAGCTGGTTCTTGTGAAAAGATAAATAATATTGATAAACTTCTAGCTTGTTTTATTCAGAAAAAGAAGAAAAGATACAAGCTACTAATATCTGCAATGAGAGAGGTGACATCACTACAGGTTCTACAGCTACCAAAAGGGTAATAAGAAAACATTATGAACTTTATGTCAATAAATTTGACAACTCAGATAAAAAGACAAGTTACTTGAAATATGCTTATTTCCAAAACTAAACTCAAGAATAAATTGATCATCTATCTAGCCCTACATCTATTAAATAAATAGAATTTGTAGTTAAAAATCTTTCCACAAAGAAACCTCAGGCTTAAATGGCTTCACTGGTACATTCTACCAAATACCTAAAGAATAAATAATACCATTCTATACAAAATCTCCCAAAAAAGTACATTCCTATTCATTCTAGGAGGCTAGCATTAATCTGATACCAAAACTAGGCAAAGGCATTACAAGAAAACTAAATACCAAAATCCCTTCTGGACATAGATACAAAACTTCCAATTTATAGTTTAGGTCATGGAGTCTATGATGTATAAAAAAATGTTATATCATAGCCAAATGGGTTCAGCCCAGGAATGTAAGGATGGTTTAACCATCAAAAATTAGCATAATTCACCAAATTAACAGAATGAAAAAAAAAGCTACATGATCATTTCAATAGATGTAGAAGAAGCTTTTGATGAAATTCCATCTTTGCTACTAAAAGAAATCACTTTTTTAAAAACAAAGGTACAATGGCAGTTCAGCAGAAAAAGGACAATCTTTTCAAAACTGTTTATGCATGTGCCCAAAATGAACTTTGATCCATTCCTCACACCATATACAAAAATGAACTCAAAATGGATCATAGATCTAAATGTAAAATCTAAAACTATAAAACTTCTAGGAGAAAGCAAGAATTAAGAATATCTACATGACCTTGGGTTAGGCAACAATTTCATAGTTATGACACCAATAGCACAATCCACAAAAGGAAAAAAATTGATGAATTGGACTTAATCAAAATTAACTTTTGCTCTTCAAAAGTCAGTGTTAGGAAAATGAAAATGCAAACAACAGACTGAAAATAAGTTTTTGTAAAGTGTAAGCCTGATAAAGGACTTGTAGCCAGAACACAGGGGAAAGACTTAGGAAATTCACTCATTAAAAAAATAACCCAGTTTTTAAATGGGCAAGAGATTTGAACTGACACATCACTTAAGAAGATACGTGGGTAGCCAATGAGCATGAGAAAAATGCCCCACATCATTAGTTGCCAGGGCAATGCAAATTAAGCCTACAGTCCCTGTACTAGGGTTTCACAGTTTTCACAGAGGTGATGAGGTGCTACTACAGACCTATTAGAAGAGCTGAAATTCAAAAGAGTGACCACACCAAATGTTGGCCATACCACGGAGGAACTGGGCCTCTCATACACTGCTAGTAGAGATGAAAAACAATGCAGATGCTTTTGGAAAGCAGCTTGGCAATCTCTTGAAAACTTAAACACCTACGTTTGAACTAGCAATCCCACGCCCAGGTATTTAGCCAAGAGGAAAAAAAGCATCTGTCTTAGAGACTGATACATGAATGTTTATAGCTGCTTTGTTTGTAATAACTCAAACTTGGAAACAGTCCAAATGTCCATCCACAGGTGAATGGAATATTACTCTGCAATGAAGAGGAATGAACTCTGGATGTGTACAACAACGTGAGTGAATCTCAAAGGAGTATGCTGGGTGAAAGGAAACAGACAAAAAGAGTATACACCGAATGATTCTATTTATGTAGAACTCGAGAAAGTGCAGATAATTTGTAGTGACAGAAAGCAAATCAGTAGGGTGGGGGTCCAGAGGGGTGAGAGAGAGAGAGAGGTTACAGATGGGCAGGAAGAAACTCTGGGGGCAACGGATGTTTTTACTATCCTGATAGCGATGGTGGTTTCACAGGTGTGTGCATGTATCAAAACTTCTCCAACCGTATACTATAAACACATACAGGGACTTCCCTGGTGGTCCAGTGGTTAAGCTTCCGCCTTCCAATGCAGGGGACACGGATTCGATTCCCTGGTCAGCAATCTAAGGTCCCACGTGCTGTAGGGTAACTGAGCCTGTGTGCTTTGACTAATGAGCTCTTTGGAGCCTGCGGGCAGCAGCTCAGACTCGACACAGAAAAATAATTATGTTTTTTTTTTAAATATAATACAAATTGAAAAAATTAATATGTACAGTTTATTGTATACCAATTATACATCAGTAAGTCCGACTTTAAAAAACAAACAAAATTAATCCTTTGTCTGTTGCTTCATTTGCTATTATTTTCTCCCAATCTGAGGGCTGTCTTTTCACCTTGCTTATAGTTTCCTTTGTTGTGCAAAAGCTTTTAAGTTTCATTAGGTCCCATTTGTTTATTTTTGCTTTTATTTCCAATATTCTGGGAGGTGGGTCATAGAGGATCCTGCTGTGATTTATGTCGGAGAGTGTTTTGCCTATGTTTTCCTCTAGGAGTTTTATAGTTTCTGGTCTTACATTTAGATCTTTAATCCATTTTGAGTTTATTTTTGTGTATGGTATTAGAAAGTGTTCTAGTTTCATTCTTTTACAAGTGGTTGACCAGTTTTGCCAGCACCACTTGTTAAAGAGGTTGTCTTTTTTCCATTGTATATCCTTGCCTCTTTTGTCGAAGATAAGGTGTCCTCCTGCAGCTCAACTCCAGAAAAATAAATGACCCAATCAAAAAATGGGCCAAAGAACTAAACAGACATTTCTCCAAAGAAGACATACAGATGGCTAACAAACATATGAAAAGATGCTCAACATCACTCATTATCAGAGAAATGCACATCAAAACCACAACGAGGTACCATTACACGCCAGTCAGGATGGCTGCTATCCAAAAGTCTACAAGCAATAAATGCTGGAGAGGGTGTGGAGAAAAGGGAACCCTCTTACACTGTTGGTGGGAATGCAAACTAGTACAACCACTATGGAGAACAGTGTGGAGATTTCTTAAAAAAAACTGGAAATAAATAGCAGGAGGCATGCCTGGAGGAATGCCTGGGGGCTTCCCTGGTGGTGGAGCTCCTCCATCAGGTGGTGCCTCCTCTGGGCCCACTATTGAAGAGGTTGATTAGGCCAGCCTAGCATAGATCTAGCATTGTTCCACACAAAACATGGAAGGACCCAAATTTGTAGCAATTCCCGTGGCAGTTATGAAGTTGAGCTGCTATAGTAAATAACTGGGCATTCTTGATACTTGAACATGGAATGTGTGTGCACATGGAAAAACATTGCACTTTACAAGCACTGTATTGTAAGTGGAAAAATGCAATGTCTTAAATAAAACTGTATTTAAAATTGGCACCAAAAAAAAAAAAACAACTGGAAATAGAACTGCCATATGACCCAGCAATCCCACTTCTGGGCATACACACCGAGGAAACCAGATCTGAAAGAGACACGGGCACCCCAATGTTCATCGCAGCACTGTTTGTAATAGCCAGGACATGGAAGCAACCTAGATGCCCATCAGCAGACGAATGGATGAGGAAGCTGTGGTACATATAAACCATGGAATATTACTCAGCCGTTAAAAAGAATTCATTTGAATCAGTTCTAATGAGATGGATGAAACTGGAGCCCATTATACAGAGTGAAGTAAGCCAGAAAGATAAAGACCATTACAGCATACTAACACATATATATGGGATTTAGAAAGATGGTAATGATAACCCTATATGCAAAACAGAAAAAGAGATACAGATGTACAGAACAGACTTTGGGACTCTGTGGGAGAAGGCGAGGGTGGGATGTTTCGAGAGAACAGCATCGAAACATGTATATTATCTATAGTGAAACAGATCACCAGCCCAGGTTGGATGCATGAGACAA